GATTGAGGAGGCTTGAGTATTGATCCTGAACGAGAAGATTGGGTGAATCTTGAGGATTGATCCTGAATCGAGTTGGTTGACGAAGTTGGAGGTTCGATTTGGTTGAGTCTATGTGTAGTCCGAGGGTAATGAGATGAAGCCAGCCCGAGCACAACGCATATGCGTCGTTCAGATGAATTTGGATCAGAAGACACTGGCACTCACCTTTGACTCCACAAAGCAATATGAGCAAGCGTGATGATTACACAACAAGGGTGAAATAGACCATGTAATCAACTGTCTTGATCAAACATAAAAAAAAAAATAACAAAAACACTCACTGAGGCTGGGCCAGGTGCAATGTCCAAAGGACGATTGTTTGTGCGGTTAATGGGCGGGTGGGTCAGATGAATTTTGGTCATTTGGGATTGAAATCAAGTGTAATTTTGGGGAGTGAGTGAAGTCATTGGGTTAATGGGCAGGTGGGTCGGATGAATTTTGGTTGTTTGGGATTGAAATCAAGTGTAAATTTGGGGAGCGAAGTCCTTTGGGATTGAAATCGAGTGTAATTTTGGGGAGTGAAATCTGGGTGGTTGAATTTGAAATGGGGAGTAGAAAAAAGCTGGGTGAAATGGGGGGCAAAAAAACATCTTTCGGGGCTTCAAAATGGGGTTGTTAACGACTTGCCCATCAAAAGCAAATAAAAAGACTTACCTATGCAAAGTGGGCCAGTGTGATTCCACGCATCTTAGCCCTAAGATCATAATTCGGAACATCGTCATCATCACAGTCACTTTCACTGTCTTCAGGAGCCTCATCTTCATAAAGATCGTTCCATTGATCTTTGAGATCGGCCAGCAGATTGTGTAGAACGATGCAAGTAACTATCCATTTTACAGCCCCCTTCATCTCTTCAGCATTACGGATTCGAGTTCCAATTTCTTGTAAGCTTGCAAAACGACCTTTGAGAATGCCAATGGCATGTTCAATTCTGACTCGAGATTGTGCTAGGTGGTAGTTGAAATTGATGTTACGACGTTTGAGCAATTGTTTGCCTTTGAATGCAGGGACAACATAACGATCGTTGGTGTAGGCTGAGTCTGCCAGTAGGAATTGCTTTTGGTCGAAGTACTTTTCAGGTTGCTGGGCCACTTGCATGTGCGAAAATACATAAGAATCATGAGATGAGCCAGGAAATCCAGCCAAATAAGAAATGAACTTTTTGTTGATATCACATATGACCGTTACTGAAATGGAGTATCTGATCCAAGCAGCCAAGAGAAAATAACAATCAATCAACAAGGGAGATTTTTTGTATAATTCAGCAGTATCAAAAAGCTAACCTCTTCTTACGATCAAAGTAATGCTGCCCATCCTTGGGGGGCTTCTGACTCAAAGGGATGGTCGTTCCATCTACAAATCCCACACAGCCAGGGAATCCTTCCTCTCGCATGACCTGAGATGATTCTATTCGTTCAGATTTGGTAGGCCAAGTGACTAAAGAAGATCGTAATCCATAAACAGCATGAATGACTCGTCTAGTATACAGGTCGATCGTTCCAAACCCAACTTGAAACAGATTTTTGAGCCTGTAGATAGCTGAACCGTTTCCATTTGATCCAAGACGACATACTGCTATAGCAATTTGGATTGGTGGATCCCTTTGGGGATTACAAGAGTTGTTGTAGAAGATGGGGTTTTGTTCGATGAGCTGTACCAGGTTGAGGAAGCAAGGAAAAGTCATACGAAACATCTGCACAAAGCTTAATTCTGGAAGTTCTTGAAGCTCAGACAAGTCATAACGAGGATCAAATCGTGTCGTGGAGTTTCGAGCTACTAGGTATTGTTTCTGAAGCTGGCTCATAGAGAAAAAGTAAAATTCTTCAAGTTCTGAGTCGTGATCTGAATCTGAATCGTCCATCATGGCCATTGCAGCAACATTGGATGCTTCGATTATTTTCTTTCTTCGAGATACTTTGGGCATGATTGCTTTTGAGGACTTGAGTGGAGGCGATCTTGGTGTTGATGATGATGAGTTGGTGGTGGGATGATTGGTGCTGATGATGTGAAGTTTGGTGGTCAGATGATCAGTTTGGTGGTGGGATGATCGGTGCTGATGAGGTGAAGTTTGGCGGTGCAAGTGAAAATGGGCGGTGATATGAGTTGAAACAAATGGGATATTTTAATTGACTGGTTTGGGTGAAAAGATGTGTGTTTTTTTGTTCAAAACCCGTTGGGGTTGATGGAGGTGGATTTTGGAAACCCGTCAATTAATAATCGTGGATTTCAAAAAAATAATTGACGGGTTTGCAAAGGTGGATTTGCTATATTTGATACCCCCTACTAAAAAGGCATGAAGCAGAACCCAGGAAACCCCCTCTAGAGGTGGGTAACCAAAATGTATGAATTTTTGGGGAAAATCCCAAAATCATACTCACAAAAGTGGTATAAATCCACTCAAAAACCTGACATGGTACGCACAAAAATGGTTCAAAATTTATGAATTTTGGCTCAATCTTAAGGAAAGCCTACCTAACTGACACATCCCCGAATTTTTGGGGGCAATTTTCTCACTTTCTGGTGGATTTTCCTCTCAGCATACGCAGGAAAATGGTATGAATGGCTTCCAAAAATGTATGAATTTTTGCAAAATCCCAGATTTTTGGTTACCCACCTATATAGGGGGTTTCCTGGGTCCTCATGAAGCCTGCCCACACATGCAAACTAACTCCAATCAAGTCAGATCAACTGACCTCAAATCCATAACACATACATTTAGACCATCTCAGCCACCACCAATACAGCTGGAGGGAGATATCACCTTAATCTTGTACTAATCCGAGCTTGCTAATACGGTGTAGCTTGACCATCAATATGGATGCTCTGATTGGTTTATTGATTTATACCTGGTAGCTCATGCACAATGGATTTGACATAAATAATTTCAAGACAATTTCAAGTTACCAAGAGCTTCCATTGTTTTATTTGACATCCAGAAATTCCAAGTGATTAAGATGTTGCTGTGGGAGATTTCAAGGGAGAAGGCTATTTCAAATCTGAATGGCAAGACCAATGCCAGGATATTCAATCCAAAAGTCCACAGATTTTTTTCCATTCAATCTTCTTCTCATCCACTGGTTCAGAAAGTTGCATGTTAATTCCAATATTTTAAAATATCCCCACATTAAAACACCACTAGATCTGTTATTGATTTGCTCATCATCCCCTCATTGAAACAAGTATCCTCACCTTATGAGGTCTTCAAGACTACAGTATACAGTCCCCAAGCTTGTTGGGATATTTATGGCAGACACAAGATGTTCACCAAAGCACTACATATACATCAAGCTCACATGAGGCCTTGTGACTAATGTTGACGGTGCCACTTTTGGAAAAGTGCGCGTCGGAAGGCGCCTCCAAAACTGCCAGTGATGTGTATCTTTGGCTGGCACATTGGAGGCGCGCCATTTTTTTGCACTAAAAACATGTACATATTGTCTATATTCCACGTTTTTCAATTTCATATTTTTTTTTTTTTTCAACCACAATTTTTTTATTGATCCGGTAGGCACAATTGGTGGGTGCCATGTGGCACTTCACACTATTTGGGGGCAAAACCGGGGTCTCAGGGCCAAAGAATGAGTTCAACCAACAAGAAAGCCAAAAACCATAACTTTTATGGGCAGTCAATGGATGACTCCCCTGGAAAAGTCAAGGTTAGCGAGTGCGCGCCAGCCCCCTTTTTCAAGATTTTGGGCGCGCCAGGGGCACACGTGCGCGGCGCCCCCACATTGGCACGCACCCAGGGAGCGCGCCGTCAACCCTACTTGTGATCACCACATGTAAGATTGAATTGTGGATATTGCACTTTTGAGGGTTGTATTAGTAACTTGTTTTGAAACATCTTTGGGAATACATTCCATGGAAAAGAGAGCTGATGGGGATTATTGTGCAAGACTTTACTCTATCAATTCAAGGATTGACAATTTGACTGGATTAGGTGACTCCTGCATGAACACTGACCACTGAAAATCATGCAGCTGCTACTAAAACATTCTTTTTCTGATAGATGATTTGCTTAAATAGAATGGTAAACAAATTTAAAATGTCAATGTCACTACAAATTTTTGAACACAAAGATGGGAAGCCACAGGTCTCAGTCAAGGGAAGAGGATTTCTACTAAACAATTTTTGGGATCGATGATGAAAAACTAGAGGAGGAGACAGAAAAGGATGGCAAAACATGTTTGAAGCTGATACAACACTACAAAAAAAATAACATTTTGAATATTGTCGAGGAATCTGTAAGTTTGCCTTGATTTGGGTGAGCTTTGATCACCGATTGTTCGATTTGATGATGCACCGTGCCGCACAGCTAATCAACCAATGTTTCTAACTTTCTATCAGCCGCCAAGAGTTGTTCTAGGGCCAGGTGGAGTTCAGATCGCAATTCAAAGAACGAAGATCTGAGAAGATCTTCAGGGAAAGGAGGATCGATTCGAGAAGGGTCAGGAATAAGAAAAAATGCGAAAAGCGTCATAGAGGAATCAAAATGACGGGACAGTTCCTTGCTCCAAACCAATATCTTTCCCATTTCGGCATGAAGGTCGTCTTCGTTTGCTGGTCCGGACCGGGTGAAGCTTCTCACGATCTTCAGAATATGGGCACACAAACCACTTGTTTCCTTCTTCAAACACCCCATGTCGTAGGAACTTACGCTAGGACTGAGCGTGAATGATGTTTTAGCATAGTAGGTGCCCACCAATTTGTCGAAGAATCTCACGCCTATTAGGGCAAGTGGTTCAGCTCGCTGGAGACGATGCTTACGATCTAGGTTTAGAAGTAAATTTCCCTGTGATGATGTAGTGGGGTCGTTGCTGTCAGTTCCAAGACGTAGGGTAGACTCGGACAATTGGTCGTGACAGTCACCAAGACGGTTGCCGTCAACCCGCCATAAGTCTTGGAGAAAGCCAAAATCGGATCCTTTGGACGATCGGATTATAGCATCAATACTGCGGCAGGTTTCATCAGTGTTTTTGATTATTTTACCTTGGAGTCTGGGAACCTCCAGGTCCAAATTGGAAAGAAATGCAGGAATCGGAAAATGTATGTTGGAATGGTACAGCTCAATCAAGCTGAAATAAAGGCCAAACAAATTGGCGAATTCGCGCCATAGAAGACGATCAAATTTCTGGACAAGATCGATACACTTGTATCTCTTCAAAACACCGTACTCATGATCTATCTTGCAGGTAAATCCGAGTTCCTCCGAGATGGGAGCGGAAGCGAGGGAAGCGAGAGAACGGTCGATTAGATTGAGGGTGGCACCGAGTTGTAGAGCGAACTCGAGGGCATTGGTGATTTTTCGATCGGATTCGGACTCTTCTTCATTTAAAGGCCCTGTGGCTAATGATCGCATTAAGCCGTGGAGCTGCCGCTGCAATGTGGGTAGAGATCTGGTTTGCACTTCGACCAGGAGGGCTTTGCCGGCGTCGATCTCAGGGCTTGAAAGAGATTTCTCGGAAATGTCCCGCCCTCTGCGGCGCGGGGTTTCCCGCCCATAGCGCTCCAACTGGCCGATTGCGATGAAAAGACCTATGCAGAAGAAGTGAACCGATTCTGCGTCAGTTGAATTTGAATCCTATTGGCACTTGATGAAATGCGCCTGTTTACCGTGTATGGGTGGTCTAGGTTCAATACCGGAGTGCATTGGGTTGATGCCTTTCTTCTGTTTTCGATGTCGCACTTCTTTTTCTATGGATGAATTTAGGCTAGAAGGTGGGTTGGTGATGCTAGAAGAAATCTGTTAACGGTAAAAACTGACTGAGCTAGGCTACCAGAGGACACAAGTTCTTACAGATGTTATTGTGTGAATGAAGAAGGGATTGTTACAATTATTAAGATATATCAGACTACTACGACTTGTTTCTGTTTATCTACTGGGTGTGATGGCGGAAGGAACTGTGGCGACTCCACCACGGCCAAGAGTAAGGAATTTAAGGACAAGATGTACTGCAGATGGATTTGGAGAGGTACGGTGGCCTTTGTCCCAGTAGACGTCAAATCAGAGCTGGGGGGATGCAAGAGGCAGGGCCGGCACGGTCCGCGTATAGTCAAGCCGAGGGAGAAAGTTCCAAACAAAGACCAGAATATGTAGCTGACTTCGCATAAGAAACCTGAGAAAGAGCCTCATCCTATTCCGGCCAAGTAGCTGTTTTCACAGGACACTGGCCGGATCGGGCCCAGTACCAAGTACCACCCAGCCATCCATTTATTCCCTAAAATGTATCCAAGTCACAAACCTTCGGACAAGAGCTGATCTCCTTTGGGTGTTTCCATCTTATCGCGCATCGTCCTCTCTTGCAAATTTCCGGCGCAAGGTTGCAAGCATTATAATTGTCTTAATCATGTCACATGGCTAATTGACATTGCCGTCAATCTGTCTCTATCCATCAATCGAGCTTCAACGTGGCCGCAAATAGCTCAAGTCCGGACTTGAAGTAACCTGATCCAACCAACACACGTTCTGATGTATTTGTTACCATTGGAGCGAGTAGCTCACTTGATGCGAGTCCGAAATACATAGTACAAGACTGAAAGTATTTCCGACTACACCATCTGTGGGCACTATATGCATACATAGTGTAGCTATATGCATAGGGGCTGTTTTACTGTAGCTAGAGGGTACAACCGCACAGGATTTCCATGACTCTGGGATTCCCAAAAACTCTGGAATTCCCAGCTTTCCAGGCCTCCAAAAAAAACTCGAAGTCCCCTCCTGGCGGTTCACCAGCCAACCCGCCATATAACCACCCATATCATCACTCGCCTGACATCCCCCAATCCGTAACTCACCGGATCACATCTGTTATCCACCCTGCTCTCTACCACCGGTGCTCTCTACACCAAAATACACAACCTCTCCATACTGAACACAACCATCAGCACCCGGTGAACAACACGGCCACCGGAATGACACTACATATTTCCTTAGATCTATGTTCCCACTCGCTGGTTTTTCAACATAACCTTGCAAGCACTGGTGCTCGCATTTTTCAACATAACCTTGCAAGCACTGGGGCTTGCTTTCAACACAACTTCACAAGCACCGGGGCTTGCAAGGGTAGAGACTTATCTACCTTTGTTACTTCTACGTATGTATGTATTGGTCAGTCTTTTATCACTTTTGAACAAATACACTAGAAAAAAACTGCAATCAAAAATGAAGTACACAACACTCTTGGATGGTAAAGAAAGGAAATGTTGCTTGCTTCAACAAATAGAAGTTAAATCACCAGTGAGCTAAATGAGAAAAGAAGCAAAATAAAAATCAGGTATCAATTGGAAACAACCCTATCCATGGCTTCATGGGCCGCTTCCACCACCACCTCGCCATCATCATCTCCCTGAGCCCTCTGTGAATTATCTACATCAACCCCATCATTTGTGAAATTCTGTTCCACATCTGAGTCCACATCACCATCTTCCGAACCAGAGATCTCATCATCATCCACATCCTCCCCATTGTCAAGAGCCATGTCAAGTACGGCCTCCTCCAACGCTCCATCAACCTCAGCCCTATCCGCCATCCCACCCTCTTTCTCAAATTCCATCTCTTCCTTCATCTTTTGCCAATCGTGTAGCATGATTGCACCATAGGAAGCTGGCTGGCAGTGCTTGGCTAGCCACGTAACATGATGATCCCATTCTTTGCATAAGGCCGTGTGAATGATGCATCGATGTCGAATTTCTTTGCGGATTAATCTCAGCTTTGCCCTCCGAGCCAATCCGTAGACATTGATTTTGTCAAAATGATCTAACTCAATTTCATCTGGCGTCTGTGCTAGGAGGTCGATCCCTACAATGATATGTCCACATGCTATTTTTTAGTGATCAATAGAAGAAGACAAAGAAGAAGACATATCTCACGTTGGTTCAGTACTTGTATTGCCTTTTTGCACTGATTATAACAGTTGACCGCCCATCCTACTGCCCTTGCAAGCTCTTGGGCAATGAGCTGAAACTCTTCCTGAACCCTGCTCAGGATGAGTACACAGTTTATACCAGTTCGGACATCCGGCTCAATCGCCCAGGGTGCTTTTGACTGAAAGTAGAGACCATCGTTCCAAAACTCATGATCGAGGGGCCATTTTGAGGATTCCTCGTATTCAACAGGGTGATGAGCCGAGTTGGCTTCTGGTAGATCCGGGAATTGACCTGAAAATTCTTGAAAAAGTTTGTTAAACTTATCAAGCATCTTCTTGATGGCTGGCTGGCGATTCCGAATGGCTTTGAGAATTTTTTCCTTCAGTTCAGTTCCCACACGTGTACCAATTCTCTTGGTATCCAAGAGTGGCTGGCATTCTGAACGTAGTTGGACTGCTTGGATGAACAATCCCTGTTTGGAGTTCCAAATGAGCAACTTCAAGCGGTGTTCATCACCTGGAAGGATATAATTATCTGAGACAAAAACTTATGCTGTGTGGAGTGTGAAGAATAACATTATACTGTTTTCCTCGCCTGACGGTAAATTTTCAACTCCCTCGGCTTCCTTCCCGAGTTTAGCCGCCACTTTTTCAATGGCTTTGACATTTTTCTTGATATCCTTTTCAGGCAAGAGGAGGAGCTCTGGATCCAGTAGGCGTTCCCTAGTACACCACAAGAGGCAATTAGCAAACTGTTCTGAAGACAAGTGAGTGAGAGACATGCCTTAAGCTTGCAAGGGTGCCTTGGTGCTCATAGATCTTGATAAGTTTATCTCTACGTTCTTGCTCCTCGTCCGTGTGATCCGCCCGAAACGTGCGCTGATGGTTCCATTGCTTTTGAAAAAAGGAAACTTTGTATTTGCAACCAGGTTGTTTGAATGGATTTTGCTTTGATAGAAGGTTTTCAAGTTGATCATGTGTTTCCCGGCGGCGTTTTGTTGCTAGTTTAAACTTCTTGGATAGCCAGTGGGCTAGCAGGAATGGGAACAATCAGATTTGGTAAGTTTAACCAGTTCAAGATTCCCAGAAATGTCATGACCAACACTCACACAATTGCTGGATCCCCCTGGTATTGTGATATTTCAACCAATGTGAAATTGCCGCCAATCGGTGATTCCGAGTGGCATATCTAAGTGGGCTAACCAAGGGAGATATATACGACCACATTCTCTCCAATCCTTCTCCATCGGACAACCCCCAACCCGTATTGAATCGAGGATTGTAGTCAAGTTGACACATCCAATTGTGGACATACGAGTGAAAAACCGATGTGCGGAATGTCAGACGTTCAGTAAATTTGGGAAGGAGACCGCGCTATATAAAGGAAAATTATGAATGTCTTTGTTAGATGTGATAAGATGAGTTATAAGTCTTACCAATTTAATATACTTATCAAGAGAGCATCCAATGTCGTATAAAACCCCAACCGGTCTATTTTCCTCCAAACTCCCAAGCAGCTTCTTCAGTAGAGCTAAAGGCATGGCCCGCTGCTCACCAGCCTTGTATATATTTGTTAGATAAATAGCAGAATCGTGTCAACAACAACACCCCATAAGCCCAGTGTCATCACACCCTTTCCAAGTTGAGCCATTTTGCTTGTCGTCAGCTGCTTTATGCACATCAGCACATCGATCGGCCTAGATTAATAATTACATTTTATTTGGTCAATGATTGCAGATGCCAGAGAGCTATAGCACATATAATAGATGATGTACATACCTGACTTGGAGTTTTACTGAGCAGATCCATGTGTCTGATTTCTGCAGTCATGTTTTCAATGGCTCCCTCCGCTAGAAATATGCGTGGAAACCAAAGTGTCTCATAATCTCGACTGGTTTTTGAGTGGTGCCTGTGTTGGAAGTTGCCATTGAGGCAGATTACCAGACGGTTTCGAGTGGCTTCCGGGTAATCTTTTGAGTTTGAAGGCTCTGGACCAAAGCAAGCTGGACACGATCTTCCCGCTAGAATCTGCTGATCCGTCAGTTGAAGGGCCGAGTCAATCATATTGTCTGTTTTCTCTTCAAGTTGCCTGAATAGGTCAACTGCTCCTGAAAAAGGCTTCCGCATTTCTCGGGCCTTGGCACAAGAGGCAAGATCAGTTCATACCTTCAACTCTGTATGTAAATTATTTGTGTTAAAAGCTCACATGAATCCCGTTCTTGACAAATAATCTCTCAGATCGTGGCTCAAGGAATTCTGTGAGGGCAAGGGTGAATGGTTGCATACCAATGTGACTGTGGTTCCATAGCGAGTTGTGAAATATGAGCAGGGGAAGGGAGAAGGCGGTTTGAGGTTTCATTGGAGATCTGGGTAAGTAGCCTCGCTTCAATAGGTGGACGGCATCGTGCATACACTTGCAGAACTCGACGAGTGTCCGATGTTGACCTAATGAGATTGAAAGGTTAGCTTGTGATACATAATTTCAATGGAAATAGAAAAATGAGAATTTAGTAAATACCATATAAATCAACAAGGTCAACATAGCGGCTTGTCTTCTTTGAAGTTGGGCATTTGCAGTCATTTGAGGGGATTTGATTGTATGCGTTGTCGCCGCTCCAATTCTTTGTGTGCAGCTTGAGGGCCATGTACCAGGTGTGCAGGGATCTTATCAATACGTTCCAGTTATATTCTTTCATCAGGAGGCGATACTCCTCCTGAGTTGATTGGATTTCGGGATCTATGGTTTGTTGTGAATCGTTGGCCTCTTCGGCTAGATGAATACATCTGACTTGTTGTTCTTCTTCCTCGTTGTCTGAAGACTCCTCGGCCGCTTGATTTGCCTGATGAGGGTCATAAGGTTTATCTGTCATATCAACATCATCTACCGTTCCTGATTGGTTTGGTTTGTCTCGACTCTCGTGGGGCGTCTGGTTGATTGCTACGTAGGCGAGCAAAAGCACTGCGGTTCAGGGTGGCATTCTGGGCGCGTCTTAATCTTTGAATGAGGGAATCAGGTGGTTTTTTTGAGCGGGTTTGTTTGGCCATTCAATCTGGATGTTGAGGTGCTGAGAGTTAGATCCAGTCAAATTTGTCGGTGATAGCGTTGAAGATAATAGAGCTGAAAGAGATAGAGAAACAAATTTGAAGATGTAGTAGCCAATGTGTAATATGATAGCAAACATCCCACATCTCACCTGACCTAAAATTTTCGAACCAAAATACTTGATTACTCAACACTGCATGCAACCAGGGATTTATCAACACACCTACAGAAACAGCTACTGGGCATCCACTACCCTCAGACCAATATTTCACCCTAATGCCACCATGCTTGTGTTTCCCTTGATTGTATTTTTTTGGTTAACAGATGTGAAAATGTGTGTTTGTTGGTCCAGTGATTGTATGTTTTTAAATTCTAATTATCCACACAATTCAGTTCCCCACACCACCAAATCTGTGGTGTTCAATTCTGCTCCTTGGATCCAAAGACAAAAAATCATTCTTCAATAATCTTACTCAAAACTAATATGTGCCTTGGTGTCAGCCTTAGAGCCAGCCAAGCTGGGCCAAAGACTGCTTAAGTCCTCCCTTTTACATTCAAGTCCCTACTGTACTATTCATCTTAATCTTTTATTGCATTCTGACTTCAGAAATGAATTCCTCTGTTAATTTTAACCTTAGTCACCCCTACATACTTTTACACTACTCCTCTCCTTCACAGACTTTGTAATATTTCACCGTACCATTGTGAAATATCTACCAAGTTGAAATTCCAACTCTCTACCACATGTACATGTTGTGATTATGTAATCCAACTCTGAAAATTCTCTCAGTAGACACTGAGTTTGCATTTTCAGGATCTTCAAGCTTCAGACCCACCCAGAACCAACTAAGACCAGAAAACCAGCATACCTCAACTTGGATTCACCACCGTATCATTGCCGTGTTATAGTTTGGAGTCCTTTACTCTTTGGAATCTTCCCACTCTCAGTGTCAGGATCACCAAATAGTAAGTCATTCCTTCAAGTTCAGCTTGCATCTTTCTGCTAAGTTTCTTCTCTGTCTCTCTGAATGAACACTTCATTCTTTTTCTACTAAACCTCTGCCTCAAACATCATCTTATCAAATCAAGTCATCCTAATTCTCTGTTTGGTGGTATAACTAAATTCACATAGGTTTCCCTTTAAAGACCCTTGATCTTAGATCTAAAAAATAGTGGCCGGATTGATTTATCAATACCAGGAACCCTTCTCAGTTTCAGTTGAGTTAGGAGGCGTAGATTTATTCCGCTATAGAACAGCCATCCTTCCACAGGAAAGTAAGACTGACGTAAGCCTTGATTATAAAACAAATAAACAATAAAAAAATATTATTCATTTCATTTCTATTTTCTTTCTCTCTCTCTCTCCTTTTCTCTTATTCTAGTTGTATTTCTTTATCCCCTTGAAATACATCTAGAATTGCCCCCCATTCCTTGTGTCCTGCTGTCACTTTTGAGACCCAGGCTCACACTTGGAGCCACACATCACCAACCCAACACCAATTATCTCAATATCATTGCTTTTCTTTGGTCCCAAGGTACATATTATATTTGAGTAAAGTTATTGAAGAAGGATTTTTTGTCTTTGGATCCAAGGAACAGGATTGAACACCACAGATTTGGTGATGTGGGGAACTGAATTGTGTGGATAATTAGAATTTAAAAACATACAATCACTGGACCAACACCAATGATCTTAATATCACTTCCTTTCTTATCATTTTTGAGTAAGGTTATTGAGAAAGAGTTTTCTATCTTTGGAACCAAGGGAAAAACATTCTTACTGAGAATTGGTAGTGGGTGAAACATGTGTATAATTAGAAAACACACATTTAATTATGGGTCTGCCTTTTTGCACCCCAAAGATTTCCCCTACACAGACCAAAAAAGGTGTGCACTCTGTGGCAGGGCGGGGCACAGGCAAATGGGTTCGATGAGATATCTTTTAGATGTTTGAATGCAAAAAGTGATAAGATTGATAATTGGATGAGAAAAGGCAATAAGAAGACAAAGTGAGGGGCTTCTTATAGTATTTACAAGGAGTGTATGCGCATAAGAGATAAGCAGAGAAATAGGGTTCATAGCCCTATGGTGAATGAAAGGTTACAACTAGCCTAGCTGTAGCTAAGGCTGCGGACGTGGCGGTCTGGGTTAGGATACATGGGTCCTGGACCAGCCGCTAAGTAGCGTTCGGGCTGGTTGGCAGGCCGACGGCTACAACATCCCCCCCCTTAAGGAGTGAGGACTGTCTCAGTCAAGCTCGTCGAGATACTTACCACCGATTTTAACTCTAATGGTTCGCTTCGGGGGTGGTACTCTAGCAACAGCTTTTGTCTTTGCGAGAGCTTCTTTAGCAACTCGAGCGTCTTTTTGTCGAATATCCAAGGCGATGGCAGGCGGAGTAGCCCACATGTCGTTTTTAATGAGAGATCGGAGAGAGACGGGTCATAGGTTGTTACCGTTGACAGGTCGAGCGTACTGCTCTCCATCCGGATACGTGAGGATGTAGACATTGTTATCCAAGACTTCGGCGATCTCGAAGGGGCCGAACCAGCGATGTAAGACTCAAAAGTGGTTGTGAGAACCCTTTTGCTGAATGTTGAAGGGTATGGTGGAGTTGCAAGCTCTGCCCTTCTGTACTATCAGATAACAAGACCCACCAAGCTCAGCTTGGCAAGTTTTAATCAAGTGATAGGGGTGGTTGGTTCGAGAATAAGTTGTTTGATCACAATATAATTGTATGAGAGAAGAGGTTTTGAGAGGATGAGAGTGAGTTTAGTGGGTATTACAATTAAGTGTAAGTGTTGTTATAGGGTGTTATAAAGGTTGTTACAGTATGTAATGTTAATGGTATGGTATGTAATGGTAGGGGGTATGTGATTTGTAGGTACTAAACTGAGGGGAAAAACAACTGGGAGGAGAGCCTCCTTAAATAGACAACAATGAGTGATTTTGGCTACCAAGGGAGCAAGAGAATGAGAGATTTTAGCTGTTCAGAGCTGTACATGAGGTATTTAGCTGTTGACAGCTACATGATGTAATTTGAGTTATTTAGCTGAAGAGGCAGTGTACATGAGGGGTTTGTGCTCGCCTAGCAATCTGCATGATGTCATACAGACTGCATGAGCTCAGCTGCAGGAAGATTATCACATGACCTGACAAGCTGCATATGCTGTACACCTGACCTGACAGGCTGTGTAAGCTGTGCACCTGTCAGAAGATTATGATGTCATATGTTTACCTGTGTCCTGTAGTGAAGTATTTGTGTAATTTGTGTTGTGTAGTTGTCCTGTGTGGTTGATTGAGTGTAATTGAGGGTTGTACATGTCCAGAGGTGTGTAACATCCATACTAGTAGAGTTACAGAGATGCCTCCAGTGGTGACCATGGGTGAAATGGGCCCTAGAGTCCATTTCTTAAGTCCAAATAAGTGTTAAGTGAGATGAAATACAAGACAAAATGATAAAAGAAAAGAGTAATGAAGAATAATAAAAAACTTTGAATTTTTACACATTCAGCTACCACATCCTCCCCCAACTTATTGTCTGTCCCCAGACAATTTCCACCAGAAAAGTGGCTGAATGTGTTTTATTGAGGAGTTGTGCTGCCTTTTGTATATTCAGACTTTTTGTCTGTTGTGAGACTTTTTCCAAAGAATTAATCATTTTGCCTCTTTTCATAAAGGGTTTTAATTTCACTTTTAATTTATGTCTTTTTTGGGCATTCTTGACTTTTTCAAACATTGGATCAATTTGCCTCTTTTCATAAAGGGGTTTCCCTGATTTTTGATTGTTGATTTATATATTTTTATTTTTTTTATTATTTATTTTTTTTTTTTTTTCAAGCCCAAAAAATGCGCAGTCCGCGGTCCGCAGCAGCAGACGTCGAGTCGTCATAGCAGCCGCAGTAGATTACTTAATCCTAGTTTAGAGTGCTCGGATTCGATTTGGGGTTTTCGGGGTCCCGATACCCATCCCGGAGCCCGTGCGTCGAGTGCGCTCGCGCTCCGAGCTGCCTGCGTCGTTCCGGTGTGAGAACTCCTTTGGGGATGGTGGCAGTCCTGCGAGGGGGAAATAGCAGTTGAGATATATCACGTATGTAATGATCCTTTACAACTGGCACGGCTGGTTTGAAAGACCTGCCCCTCTATTGTACTACACAAGAGTTAACACAACAATTTATTTATTGTTGTGGCAAAAACTGATGATAGAGAAAACTATGTGTAGCAGTCTCTTATCAAACCTAGATCAACGTGGATTCAGCAGACTATTTGAGTGGAAATGTTGAGTAAGAGGTGTTTTTCTGTTTATATGTTTATGTATTTTGAGAAATGATTGACGTATGTACTGATGATGAATGTGAATTTATGAGATGATATTGTGGAAAAAAATGTGACTATTGAAAGTGTCTTTCCCTTCCTCCTTGAATCTTAGTCAAGAGCACAATGGTTTAAGATCACTGTCTCTTGTTTAAGATCACAAGTTGTACTGGTTGCTACTTTCTTTTTCCTATGCTTCTCAATGGCTGAATGATCTCAATGGGGCACTTTGATTAAGATCACACTGGTTAATGTATGGATTAATTGCTCTGTTCTGTCTGGTTGATGATCAGATGAGATGATGATCTGTTGTGATGAGATGATATGAGATGAAAAGTTGGAATGAAGGGGGGAGCAGCCCTCCTTAAATAGTCTATTTTACAACCCGGCTGAATTGTGGTTCTAGCCCTAACCTATAATCTATAAATGGCCAACTTGTGGTTCTAGACCTAACCTATAATGAATATGCATCTAAAACTCTGGCCAAATTGTGGTTTTGCTACTATACAAAAT